AACTTAAATGAGTTTCTCTCTGCCACCCCAAGATTAGAGCAAGGTGCCCACATTTCTAGTCTGGGTCAGCAGTGAGAGGACGCAGCTGGGCAAAAGTGCTGAAAGGGCAGAGAAAGGGACAGCCCAAACCTGAGAAGAGGAGACTGCTGATGACTGGCTAGCAGAGCCCCACCCAGCTCTAGACAAAACAGAATCACATAGAGATTTACCTACAAGTTACCTAAGACCTTGACCATGAGCAGTCGGAGCTGGAGTACCCAGTCAGGTGCTGAACTACTTCCACATTCTTGAGTAAAACAGCCCCTGAATGCCTTAATTGGTCTCTTTGTTGTGTCACCCTCACTGCTTATACTAGCTTTGTCCTGTAGCCTGTATCCCAGATGGAGGAAGAAGGAAATAACCTGCATCATAAATGACATTGTGGTAGGCAGTTAGCTAGTCATGAGTAGGCCGCCCTAAGAGACTAGCAGGACACATGTCACATCCATCACAATTTATCAGGAGTTACAGCCAGACCCTCCATGAGATGCCTTCTCCCCTCCCAGCTCCTGGCGCCGGGAAGGCGAGGCAAATTCCATTTTCCTTCCTTGGGACCTAAGGAAGACCCATTGGGATGATTGTAAATTTCCCTCTTATCATTCCTCATAGATACAAAAGACCCAATCAGACATTTTGGTCAACATCCTGATTCCCACTGGGGCAATAAACTAATTGGGCAGTTCATCCTAATTAGGCATCATGGCTCACACTGGGCATGAGCAGTTAGGTAATCAAATTCCTCATTCTTCACCTGTGAGAGGAATGCACAAGTGCAGGAGGAGGCCCACGAATTCAAACAAAGGACATAAATACTATGACAGACTTCCCACCGTTAAATATTCATTATCACCTCTGGTAATAAAAATAACACTTAACCAGTTCCTAACGCAGTTGCTACCTAGCAACCTGCCCACCCAAAGGTCTTTTGGTTGTACTTCTTTTCTAAAACCTCTCTTTCCTATTAAATTCTCTTTCCTACCTACTTTCATTGCGGTTGTGGCTTTATTTTGCACCTAGGGACAGGTCTCTAATTTTAGTGATCTGGACCCAAAGGACTTCACAACACAACTCAACACTCTTCCATCCTGTAACATCCTGGTCTCCTTAATATTCAGGGAAGTGTGAACCAATGACTCGGCAAGCTCTTAAAACAGCGGTGTGCTCTCTGGGCATTCATCAGAGTACGGGGCCATTCAGGAGGGGGTAGGCAGGTAAAGGGGAGTGGGGAGATCAAAACTGATTCTTCTCTGTCATTGCAAAAGGATATACCACTCCATGCCCGAGGAAGGGAGATGTGAAACAAAACAGAGAAAGCAAAAGGAATATTCTTTATTAGGAAGCAGTTCCCTCCCTGTTCCAGTTTAGGGCCCAGGCATACAAGTAGGCATTACAGGAGTCTCCCCTTTTACGTTCCAAGACCCCAGTGGGTGCCTGGAACTGCAGGTGGCATCAAACTGTAAATGACATTTTTTCCTATACATATTTATTTAGTATAAAGTTTAATTGATAGATTATAATAATAGTAAAAGATCAACAATAATAACAAATTAGAACAATTAGAACAACATACTCTAATACAAGTAATATGAATGTGATCTCTCTCTTGCTTTTAAAATATCTTATTGTCCAGTACTGACCTATTTTCAGACTGTGGTTGACCACAGGTAACTAAAACTGCAGAAAGTGAAACCACAGGTAAGAGAGACTACTGTATTCAACAACCACTGTGAACAGTAAACATGCCTTAGAGGACAGGAGAAGGGTGGACAATAACATCCACTGACTAGGCAGGAGAAGAATGAAAAGTCTGGTCAAGTACGGAAAGTAAACCTGAGCCAAAATCAACATCGAATTGCAAATAAATTGTGTAAATGCTAAGGTGAAAGAAACAGAAAGAGCACCATGAATCACGCAGCTCCCTGGAAGATGTTTTCAGCCTGAATGAGGAACAGTCAGGGCTTGTCTGGGACCATCCTGCCAAGATGGCGTTAGCTCCTTTGGTCTCGGGTCCAGACACTGAAGTCACCTGCACTGGCCACTGTTCTGGAGAATAGGTCCCTCTCCACCCCATTTCCCCTGGACTAGGCTCTGCTTTAAGCTATGTCAATTCCTGCCCCACCTCCCACCACGCTAGGACAACTTGAATAGTGGGGTCTCCCATAGTTTGAAACAGGGCCACGGGCATTGGTTAGAATCTGAGCCAGAATAGAAAATGACAGAGGCCACCGCCAAAATGTGAGACTCGAGACCAGTCAGCATTGTCCCAAGGGAAGTCTAGCCCTACTGGGCTCTCCTTGGAGCCAGTCCAGAAACCCCTGATGGAGGCATTCTGGCAACCTTGGAACAAGCTCTATTGCCCAGTTTACGGTCCTCCTCTCCCTGACTAAATGCTGGGCCTCCTTGGGACTCAGCCTGGTCCCTCTTCTCTCCCCTCTCTCTGAGTTCCCAGGGCTTGGAGACCCACCCTAGCCACCCTTACATGCTGAGTCTCCCCTCTGAATCCACACTCACATCTGCAGTCTGGACAGCTCCCTTGGCTGCCTCATGAGCAGCTCCAACCTGTCCAAGCAGAGCTCCTGAAGTACCTTCTCACACCTGTCCCACCCTCACACCACCAACCACCCAGTTGCTCACACACTGGGCGCCATGACCGAATCCTCTATTTCCCCTAGCCCACAGCCATCCAGTCCATTAATAAGCCCCACCATTTCTCCACCTCAGCCCCCGGTTTCTTCTCTTCACATACCTAGCACAACTTAAAATCACTTCATTTGTTTGTTTCTATCTTTTTGCTATTGGGTTCCTTTACTAAATTGAGAGTAGGAACAGTGTCTGATTTTTGCTCATCATTCATCTCCAGAATTTGGCCCAGCACTAGACAGAGAATAAATGTTTGATGATTATTGGTTGAATGAAGGAAGGAATTCATTAATAATGACTTTATTCCTGGTGCCCCCCACCTCACCTGGTACATTCGCAGAGAGCCAACCCTCTGAACTGGGCCAAGCCCTGAGTCACCTCACCTAGGTCTCCTACCCCTTTTCCACAGAGGGTTACCAACCAAAAAAGGGACATTCCTTTCCTAAAATGGGGCAACAGCTACTAAACCTTTCCCCTCCTTTATAAAGCCTTCCTGGGTGATCAGAGTGGATCTAGCAGCTGGATTTCCATACTGACTCTCAACTCCCAGGTGTAAAGTTTGTTTCTTTCATTGTTGTTCCCCACCTTTGCAATAAATTTGGTTTGGGCCTGACCTAACTGAACACTTCTATTCCACAGCCTGTGTGTACTCTGGGTGCTCCACTATCTGGAAGGCAGCACCTGCAGCCTCAGAGACAGTGTGGGCAAGAGGAGGGAGCTCTGGACTCAGGACACCTAGGTCCATCCCTAGCCAAGGCCCTCACATGCTGTAGGATCCTAAGGGAGTCATTGCACCTCGCGGAGCCTCCGTCTCCCTATTTGCAAATGAAGATCTTGGAGTCCTTGCTCATGGCTCCCTACCAGCTGTGACATTTGCTCCAGCACTTCCAGCCAACTAATACTTTATCAGAGTTTCTTTGTGCAGGGCAGAGGCCAGTCTTAGTGGCTGGTGTGCACTCCTGAAAGCACAGAGTGCTCAGGGCAGGGTGTTTTCTGAGCGTCTCAGACCCATTTCCCTGGGAGGGAGGCTCCTGTGGGAAAGGCTGGGTTAAAGAAAGAGAACGCTTTTGCTACAGGCCTTCTCAGAACCTCTAACGTGTGCCCAAGAAAGGGACAAGTCTTCAGACATGGAAGCCTATATTGCCATGTCTTAATGGACGGGTGTTCACAGGTCAGACTTCGAAATCAGCTGCTCTTGGGAAATCCCCACAGCCCTGAGTTCTAGCAGTTCACACTTTCCCAGGTGTACCCTGATGGTGGGAAAGTTTTCAAAACGTCAGCTCGAGGGGGAACCAGTGGGGAACCCACGGGAGAATCCCTCTGCTCCCAGGGCTCTTTCTTTTGGTTCCTCCAAATGAGGTGGGGGGGGGGTCGTTGAGGGATGAGATCAGTGTCTCCGTGGGCCACTTGCCCCTTAAGAACTGAGAAGCCACACTGCTTCCTGAAGCAGCCTTTGAGCTCCTGCCCACCATGCTCAAAGAATGAACACCAGAGGTTCCCCATTTACATCCCATAGAGGGAGGACAGGAGGAGCTGCCTAGGTTTCAGAGGCAGTATCCCAGCCGATTTGACCACAAAGCCACATGGAAGAGGCAGAAGTCAGGGAGACCAGGGAGATAACCAGAGAAGTCAGGCTGGTGGGAGGAGCATTTGGAGAGAATGTTAGAGACCTGGTGTGCAACATGATGCGCTTTATTGGCAACAGAACAGATGGACAGAAAGGGCTGAATTATATACATCAGAAACGTGGTGACCATCCCACCCTGGGCCCCGTGGACAGCAGCAGGTGCTGGCTGAGGCCACACCGGGCAATCACAGGCTCAAGCTGGAGCCAGGGAGAGGAGAACCTGAAATCCTAGGGGCTGGGCTTGGTCAGGGATCTTGGAGGAGGAGGAAGAGGGTCCCAGTCCCCCAGCCCCGAAGAGTAGCTCCCTTGGGGGATACAGGGGTATGGCTGGAGGTGTTGCTGATGTCGAGAGGGAAGAAGGGATGGGGAGAAAGGCGCCGGGGTGCTGCGAGGCTGAAGCGCCTTCTTTATCTGGCGTGGCGCTGGGAGGACTGGGAAAACTTGATGCTGCTGCCCCGGTTGCTGCCTGAGCTGAAGCCGCCTCCACTGACTCCACAACGACCCCCGGAGCCAGATCCGAAGCTGCTGCCGCCGCTGAAACCGCTGCCTCCGCCGAATCCGCTGCCACCTCCCCGGCCAAAGCCGCTGCCTGCGCCACCTCCCACGCCGAAGCCGCCACCAAACCCTCCCCCGTAACCACCCGCAGAGGCCGACGTCGTGTTGCTGTTGCTGACCACGGCTGTAGGCGGAGAAGACAGGACAAACTCAGCGCCCCAGTGCCCAGGTTGCTGTGAGAACTACATAATGGAGTCCGGAATGAGTGGGAGTGCTCAGAGCGGCCTCGGACTTGCCGATCACCGTGAGCCCTTCTAATGTCCTAAGTTACTCACCCCCACAATGCTAGGTCATTATAAATTATCCAGTGGCTCCTTCCACATATGGCTAACTCTTGATGAGCTCCCTTGGAAGTTACTCAGCCTGGAAATTTCTCCTCCCATTCTCA